GCCAGATTCTAGTACAGACTTCCTGTATCTGCCTGGAAGTCCCACATACCCTCTCCTGCCTAGCTATTGCTCATTCAGCTCTTTATTAAACCAATAAGAATAAAACAGTGACACATTTTCATACAATATTATCAAATATCTTGAACCATTTCCCTTTTTTGTCTAAATAAAAAGGGAAGACTTTAACTCTGACATAGTAAAACTATATACAAGAAGAACAATTATCAGTTAAAATTGCAATTACCATGTCAGTCCATTTGGGCCTGCCTCAACGTGCTATGCCAGGGTGTGTTGAACACCCAAGGGAGGCCTTACCCCCTATGAGGAGTGGGTGGGGTGGGATTGTGCAGGTAGGGGGGAGATGAAGAAGGGCAGGGAGGGGGAACAGTGGGGAGTAACATTAAAAAACATGAAAAAAATTTTAAATAAACAAGTAAATCTTTAAAAAAAATGGTAATAAAGACCTGGTTTGACTGTGAGACATGTCCTGAAAAATCTTGGCTGCAGACATGAAGTAAGAAACCAAGACAAAGTATAAGACAGGTGATGTATTAGCTTCACTCTTGACATGGGAACAGCTCAGAATGGATGAGATATGATAAATCTTGTTAGCAAAAGAGCCTTCATGATTTATTATTTGATGCAATCCTTTCATATGGCATTGATGGACATTTATATTACAGTCTGTTTATACAGTCCAAACAGACATATAAAGTTGACAGATGTCTTTTACCTGCTCAAACATAGAACAAAAATTCACCTGTAGCTGACTTGTGCATACCACACATTTCATACCTTTGTTAATGCAGATATGTATATTACCTTTAAAAGTTTATGTGGAAAAAAAAAGTTTATGTGTTTTCACAACAAAAGGACCAGACCAGATACTGATGAAGAAGACAAGTGGCCCAGGTGATCCACCCTCTCATAATGCCTCTGTTGCAGTGTCTTCAAAAATATGCATCCAGAATAACTTCAAAGCTGCTAGCTGAGTGGTCCAGCCTCACAGACTACTCCAATCAGGACTTCAGCTCAGCTCTGCACTCTTTCCCCATTACACAAAGACTGAACAACAAATAAAACAGCTAGTTCTCCCAGGAGTTGACCATTGTCTCAATTTTCTCAGGGACCCCTAAAAATGTTGTCACGCCTAGCCAAAATGAAGCAGTCTAGAAAACATGATGCCCACATTCCCAAGAGTGAGAGACATGGTTCTTGTTGTAGAATATTATTTTAAGGCTTATCGATTCTCCAGGGTCCAAAGGGGCTTTGCTATGTTCAGCGTGGGATATCAGGGAAAACAATCTACATACACTATGTTCTTATGTCTGTTAACTTTATTCTTCTAAGACAAAATTACATCAATTCAGCTATAGTTCCACCAGGCATTCGAGGCAGGAATAACTCTGGACATTACAAGCTCTATATCCGTCTACTTTATTTCTCTGGGATGAAATCTTGTCTCCATAACTGCAGTTCCGTCCAGTTCCCCAGCTCATAGTCCAGCTAACGACTAACTCCTATGCTTTCAGCCTCATCTTCGTCCTCTGTATCCTCTTTCTCCATCTCTGCTACTCTCTACTCCTGGCACTCAGAAAACTCTAATCAAGATCTGCTTACCCTCCATGGAACCTCTGTCATCCTCTCTTCTCTCTCCCCATGCTGTTCTCTCTCTCTGTCTACAGAAAATACCTGCCCTTTCTTTCCCTGGGCACCTTGTTCCCTGCCTCTTCAGGAATGTTGTGTGACCTCTCACCTTGATATGTAAAAACCTCTTTTGTTTTCAGTCCAAATGCTCTAGAGAAGCACTAGGCCTCCCCAAGGGGAGGGGACGGTCTGAGCCTCATTAGCACAGGGTTTGTCTTCTGCCAGCTTGTCTCCTAAGCTCAGCAGGGCAGTTAGTAACTTAGTAGGTTCAGCAGATCTGGAGAGCTGAACTGTTTACCAGTAGGTCTGGGCACACAAGGATTTCATAGCAGAAGACTGCTGAAATATTAAAGGCTGGGTAACACCAAATATTCATAATAAATGGCTTTGCCTTTTGACAGACCCTTGGCCAGTCAAAGTTCAGCTTTAATACACAGCTGGAGCTCTATGATATGTTCTTGCAACCTGCAAGAAAGGTTGTTACTTTTGTTTATGTTGCATTTGTTTAACTCTGTGAAACTGTGCTACTGTGTCTGTCTAAAACACCTGATGGTCTAATACAGAGCTGAGTAGCCAATAGCGGGGCAGGAGAGAGAAATAGATGGGGCTGGCAGACAGAGAGGATAAATAGAAGGAGAAATCTGGGAGAATAAGAAGAAGGAGAGAGAAAAGGAGGAGAGGAAGCTAGGGGGCCACCCACCCAGCCACACAGCCAGCCATGGAGTAAGAGTGAAAGTAAGATATACAGAAGAAAAGGAAAAAGCCCAGAAGCAAAAGGTAGATGGGATAATTTAAGTTAAGAAAAGCTAGCTAGAATAAAGCCAAGCTAAGGCTGGGCATTTATAAGCAGTAACAAGACTCTGTGGATTTATTTGGAAGCTGGGTAGAGGGCCCTCAGAGACCAAAGAACAAAGAGCCAAAAGAAAAGAACAAAAACAACTAAGTATAGTTTTGGTCATTTGATGGGTTATGGATGTTAATCATTGTTTAGGGGAGTTGATTGCAACTTGTTATTGATCATGGTTAGGATAAAAACTAGAAAACCAAAATTAGATTTAGGGATCTCCTTCTGAAAAGATAAAAAAGGGGGCATAGGAATGGTAGAATAAAAAGGTGGATTACTGAATCTACTTTTAAACTAGAAAGCAACTATTAATCACAGATATTTTACATTGGTATGGATTTTT